AATTTAATTAATTAATTAATTAATTTATTAATTTATTTATTAAATAAAATTAATTTATTTTAAATAATCTGTAAAATCCTCTATGATTGAATATTCCCAAGCTATTAGGAATTACACTTACTCATTATTCATTTGCTTTTAGGCTATGAGTTAAGATTTTCCTCTTTAACCGTGCTTTTTCAGTATGAATTATCTGAGATATTTTAATTGTATGTACTATATTTAATAATTTCTCTTCTGGCTTGTTATTGTAAGTTGCTGTTGCAACAATATATTCTCTGACATACTCCACAGCAGGCCTCCCATCCTGCTTCAATGACATTAATGCTTCTTAATGCTTCTTCATATTGATGTATCCTTGACCTATTTTCAAATTGAACTTTGAGTGCATCCAAAAACAAACCAACATCAATCAATCCCTTTGCATGCACACTGTGCAACTCTGCAGCCCAATCGGCAGCATCACCTGTTAACACTGTAGTTATCGCAACTATAATAGACCATTGAGAAGGATAGCAATTTGAATATAATCCTAGGTGGTTCACAATTTGGCTTAAAAATAATGCTACCGTAACTTTCCTCTCAGCTACTCTTTGTACACAAGACAGAATTTAAATTAACATATATTTTAAAAGAGTGTCCACATTAGTGATAATGCTCCTACAACCCTCATCAATATAAACAAGTATTTAAAAATGGCCAAACTTAAGTAGAATTCAATATTGGTGAGTGGGTTAATGGTAACATACTAATCCATTTGTCAAATAAAAAGGTGTTTAAGTTCCTTTTAAGCAGTAGTGGTTATAATGCAAAACTGAAGGCTAACTCACTGCTCACTCCAGGGGTTTGATTCTGAGTGGCTCAAGGTTGACTCAGCCTTCTATCCTTCCGAAGTTGGTAAAATGAAGGGGAAATATGCTGAGTCTGTAAACTGCTTAGAGAGGGCTATGCACTATGGAGCAGTATAAAGCACTATGAAGCATATAAGTCTAAGTGCTATTGCTATTTAAATATCATTACAGAGGCAAAGGCAAGAGGATGAAACAGAGTTTGAAGAAGGTCTGAAAACACAAAACCAGGAGATTACAACTTTGGAAAGGAGAACAGAAAGATCCTGCCCAGAGAAATCCAAGGAACTAAACAGGATTCTAAGAGAAAGAATCATAAATACTAGAGAATGCAGTGGGAGGTTATGACTTGAGAGATATAAATGCAAACATCAGTAGTTTAAATGGAGAGCTAGTGAAAAACAGTGTCTTGCAGTGAAACATGACGATAGCGTGGAAATTCTGAGCAACAACCGCTCAGAATTAGGGGATAGAAAATTTGGAACTTGCTAGGAGCTTATTTGTAGTAATCTAAATTTGAAAAAGTCCATAATGCTTGAGAAAGTTGAAAGAAAAAAGACAAAAAGAGCTAGTCAGTGGTGGATAGATTATATTATCACACAAATGAAAAGATTAAAAGGCCAAAATGAAGATAAGCCTTTATGGAAACCACTTGCTAAGATTTGATATTAACTGTATGGCACTTAAGTTTGTAACTTAAGTTATGTACCAATAAAAAATTTGGACTGTTCCATCAAAAAACTTATGATTCTACAGATATTCATCCAATAAAAACTAGCTACTTGCTGCAGAATACAATGTCTATTGACTTCCATCAAGATTCAGAGCTTGAGAATGGGAGAAACTGAGACAATCAGGAAATAAGTGAAAGGAAACAAAAGAGAATGGAAAGATCCTGGCTGAAACCTTACAAATCTTTGACATATCCTTCCTTGACTTGAACCCAAGAGGATTTTCAAGATAAAATTATCAGAATACATTCTGCTCATTATCAAGGATCACAAGCATTGCTGTGATTGGAAATCCTGATCATGAATCTAGGAACTCAGAGAAAGTCTTTAAAGGTTAAACAAGCCATTATTGTATATGGGAAAGTTCCTGGGCCAGTAATCAGCCATGCAATACCATCTTCAAGTATTAACTTGAAGATAAAAAGGAGTCAAAAGAGCCTCAACTGGGAAAACAGTATCAGATTGTGTATCAGGTGCTGCTGTTAGGTCTGAAAAAAAACATAAAGCATTGGAAGTTCTCTACCAGAATATAATTTTATTAAAAACATAAGTGTTATTTAGTGTAATTTATATGTTATGAGTGCAGATGAAAAGGAAAATTACTATTGAAATAATGCTTTTCTGTTTACATGTTCTTTTCCTTTGTAAATATTGTTTGCTGAAACAGAAGTTATGTTACTAGTTTAAAAATTAGTCTTAGAGAATCCAAAAGAATTGAAATTGAGCTAGAAATTTTAAAAAATGTAGTCCCAATTCTTTGAAATCTCCTTTAAAGACAGAGTAAAGGAAGAAAATTTAAAACCATTTTCCAGAAAATAAGTAAAACCTCAATTTAATGGACCATTTGCACAAGAGGAATGTCTGCTAAATCTAAATGTCCATTAAATCAGAAATTATATTATTTGCATTGAATTACATTGTTTGCATAATTATGTAATTGATGTAAATGAACTCATTTCTAGTAAAGTGCTGCTTAAATGTAGATTAGTCCAGTAAATTTGAGCAGTCCAAATAAAGAAGGAAGCTTATTCCAAAATCTATTAAATTGTGGGGTTATTCATATATTATTTTAGATGGCTTACTTATTTGATTTGTTTTAAAAAGTTCCATAAAATGTTAAAGTTGCCATTACTAAAATAGTAAAACAAATTCAATGCTGATATGTCTAGTGAATAAATACATAGGTCATATCAGTTTATTGTCCCCAATCTTTCTGATTTAAATAAACTGGTTGAGAGGGAGTCAGTCTTGAACAGGTCTCCATTTCAAAGAAACTGCAAGAAGTCTGGAAATGTCTTTCTGTGGTCAGAATGGATCTGAACTGGAAAAGAATACACAGTCTCCGTTACCTAAAGGGAACTGAATATATAGTTATATATTGACTGACTTCTGTCTGTCAAAGTTAAAGCAATTTGGAATTTCCCTGAATGTACAAGAACAAAAACGTGTACGGAAAATCATAGGATTCAAATTAGAAAAAGATCATACTGTTAGTTGTGGAAAAATATTCAAAATATAACAAGCCTGCAAAAGCAGAGAGTAATTATAAATACATTTTATTGGGACTTGGCTAGAATTCAACAACCATATATATTGTTATTGATGTGATTCAGAATCTTGGTATCTTTGATTCTGGTTTACATTTTCAATGTTTTCTTTCAATCTTTGCATGTGATTTCCTAGCTTTTGGTCTTTAGCTGTTTACAGGAATTAATATATAAAATCTCAACAGAAGTTATTAGTTAAGGCAAAACAACTATGTATTCAAAAATCCACATAGCTTCCTTTTCAGAGCAGATGTTGCTGATCAATGCTTTACTTGACATTGCTTGAATACGAACAAGCAATGCTAGTCCTTCATCAACTTATTCTCTCCCCTGGAATTCAACCTGAATGCAAATTTAAGGCCATTATTCCATGTTCTTCATTCAGAGATAAAACAGTAGCTAATTATTTGGGGAGTCCTGTGATTAAGTTTGAGACCCAAAACAAGCTCACTGGAAAAACTGGCAGAAGGACTCAAAGTCAAAAGCAGATTTTCACCTAGCAAGGGTTTTGACAAGCAGGAGCTTATGCGTACAGTTTCCATGGATGCACAATTGGCCAATGAGTGCTTGCCCAGAGCAGAGTTCATTCGGATGTATGTACTTGTTTTTCAAATTTATACAGCTAACCATTTCACAAAGCTAGTGAGCCTGCAAGAAAAGTAAAAAGTAAAGATAAGGCTTAATTTTCATCACAAAAGACTTCCAAATAACCCTATTAGTTCAGCTGTTGATGTATTTAGTTGGTCTGTCCTATCTCTCCCTGTTTTCTGATTTTTTTTTTTACCTTCAAATATTGTATTCATAAGGACTGCATTGAGGAGGCAGAGTCTACTGATCCAGCATGAGAACAGTGAGAAATATTGCTGGCAACAAAGAAATACTGCTGGTTCAGCGTAGATGCTAGGGTCAGGACATAATGTGTCTCACTGTTGGGATGCTTCCTCCTTATTTAAAGAAAACTCTTGAGAAAGGACCTTGATGGGCAACATTTCTTCAGTTGTGTGAAATGTATCTGTCCATTAACTTCTCCTTTTTATCTTTTTTTTTCTTTCTATTTTGAAAGAAAGGATAAACTTATCCTGCTTGGTCAACCACTTTGCAGGACTTGGCTTTAAACTGTTGCATCATTCGGTGTGTTGTCTAGAAAACACTGAACAGACTGAAGCTATTCCCATTATTTAGGTACTTAATGCCAATTAATCCCTATTTATAGAACCAAAGATCTCCAAAGATAATTCAATCTTATCCACCTCTTTAATTTCTACAATTATTCTTGAATGTACAGTATATCAAATGAATATATGCTTGGTAGTAAATAAGAGTTTACCTATTCATAATAAGTTTGTCCAGGTGACAGAATACATCAATATTCTTTTTTTTTTTTTTGAAGTTTCATATCTGTCTCCTAGTAAAGGCCTTGTCAAAGTGAGTATCAAATTGCAGCTTAAAAAGGGAAAGGAAAAAAAAACCATCTAATATTTAGAACCTAAGTTCAAAGTCGGTATCTCCAGGAATGTTATCCTATGAAGCAAAGGATACCTTAAACAGGTCTTATTTTGTACAGGTGGCCCTTGCTTAATGACCACTCATTCAGTGACCATTCAAACTTTAGACCAGGGATCCCCAAACTTGGCAATTTTAAGACTTGTGGACTTCAACTCCCAGCATTCCCTAGCCAGCTGACTAGAGAATTCTGGAAGTTGAAGTCCACAAGTCTTAAAGTTGCCAAGTTTGGAGACCTCTGTGGGCTGGGAGAAAATTTTGGAGAAATCTCACCCCCAGAGCACCCCCCAAGGCAATTAATCCAGGCTGCGCAGAAACACAAGGCTGCGCTGTCCACATGGCCTGCGGGAACCCTCCCCGCCCACTCACTCCTTACCCAGCAAACTTGCCTGCTAAATTGCTATTTTTCTGACCATCAGATGTTCTGCTGTGCTGGGAGATTAGCTAGGAAGCAGGAAATGGTTGGATTTCACAGCCAAACCTGCCTTAGGACTGAAGGTTCTATTATTCAGTGCAGACTCACAGCAAGCAAATTTTATGTGACAGACTGAGCTAGCCGATTCTGTGAGTACCTCAATCTGCCTGCCTGCTTTGTCTGATTTTGAGTAAAAACTGCTCTTTTTTTAAATAAAAAAGTTCAATATTTACATATATGGTGTGTTGTGAGTTAATTTTGTGAATTTGCTTGCTAGCAAATTTTATGAGTTTGCTTGCAAGCAAATTTTATGTGACAGACTGAGCTAGCCGATGGCAGATAAATAGATCTCTGAATGAATCTGTGATTCTGTGAGCAACTCAATCTGCCTGCCTGCCTTGCCTGATTTTGGGGAAAAATTGCTCTTTTTTAATAAAAAAATCCAATATTTATATAAATATTTATAATATTTACATACAAGCCATGCCTAGCCAGTCACATGACCACCAAACCACACCCACAAATTAGGCCATGCCCACAGAACCGGTTAGTGGTCCCTGGGATTTAAAATTATGAGTTTGGTGGTCCCTGAGGTCCAAAAGGTTGGCGACCCCTGCTTTAAACAATGCTGAAAGAGTTGTGGTTATGACTAATCCTCGGAGTTCTGACTATTGCAGCATCCTTACAGTTGCACACAATCATGTGTCATGTGGCCACCATTTGTGACTTTCTGCTGGCTTCCCTACTGATTTACTTACCGAAACCCAGCAATGATCACAAATAGTGACCAAGTGATATCCTCATTTAACAAGTCACAGTGATTCCCGTAATAATAGCTATTTGGAGTGCCAGAATTGCTGGCACTAAACAATACAGTCGTGTAACATCACACTTTACAACTGCATTGTTTAACAATGGCAATTCTAATCCCAATTGTCATTGTCAGCCAAGGGCCATCTATATTGCCAAAGAATGGTTATGTGATTCTTTTCTCCATGTGCCAAAACTGATCAAGTGTGCTCTAGATTTTAGGGGTCTGCACTATTAATTGCTATGATGTTTGCAACAGAAGTACTGTTTTTGTATCTGATTCTTAGTAACCAAGCATAAAATCTCTGCATTTTCCTGTACGTGTTGCTAGCCAAGGGCTTTCATATAATAAAGTGAGTCATTTTAAAGAGCATTGTTTTTATACATTTAATGGAAGAGGGCACCAATGAAACTAATGAATTTAAATACGGTGATATGCCCATATAATATTGTTACTTTGGGATAACTTCAGTTATCCACATATCTTGCATTCCTTGGCATAAGGTCAGTCTACTAAGCATTTTAAAGGAAGGAATGCACATGTCTTCAATCAGACCCCTTCCCCCCAACCCAACCTGAATTCAACTTCCAATGATCTACTGTTGAGTGTCAAAAGTAACATTTTCTAACCTCTGTTTGCATACCAGTGCCATGCAGTCTGACTACTTCATTTCATTGTAGGCAAATTCCTCTCCCTCACTTGGCTTGATTTTGCCTTCTAAAATGAACAATGCCTTGAAATCAGCTGAAAACCAGGACCATGGTGTCATAAGCAATCCAACTTAGGGGTCTGTCACTGAGTTCTCACTAGCTCAACTTTTCCCTGTTTCATTTTGAGTGTTCTACGGTAATTCAGTGTAACTATTTTCAAAGACTGTGTGATTGACAAGTTAGATATAGAAGGGAATGCAGGTGGGGCACCACTGAGAGATTGTATGAAGAAAATAAGTGACAAGGTATTTGGTTTATCTGACTTACAGTGTTCTGGATACCATTTCATTCCACTAAGCAAAATTCCTAATAGGGGTTTCTGCAGAGTCCCAATTCTTGCTGGAGCAGCAAATGTCAACTACAGCCAGGAAAAACATAGCACAGATTTGCCTGGTGTGCCAATTGCTTCTTTTCCTATATCAAGACACCTTATTCACAATTACTTGTGCTTCATGGGTTATTACAGGGTGCTTTACACAAGGTTTCCCTTATTATTAGGATTATTAGGAAGCTACAACTATAGAATACTGTATTAAAGTAGTAGTTATGGGTCTGCTTTGGTACACCTCTGTGGCACCATTACTGAATGAGCTGTACCAGTTACCAATGGACTTCTGAGTGGAGTTCTAGGTGCTAGTTGGCATTTATAAAGCTTTATATGACATATGGCGAAGAGAGTTCCCACAGAATGGGTATGTTCCATTGTCCTTGACCATTCAGTAACATCCAACAATTAACATGCTTCCCTTCTATTAGGTAATGTCATCTTACTAGACCCAAGGAGTGTATTTATTTATTTTGTCAAAAGCTTACAATACAATAGAAATAAGAATAAACAAGTTTAAATATAAGAAATAGGAACTAATAATTGGGGACAATAGGACAGGGATGGTAGGCACGATTGTATGCTTATGCATGCCCCTTACAGACCTCTTAGGAATGGGGTGTAGCTTTTCTGCATCAACATTCCCCATAATATCTGCATGGCTGTGACCCTGCCTGCTTTCAAATGACCTGCAGGCACTAAGCTGGGATGTTAGGAATCCCCATCTGTATGGCAAAGTGAATAATACTTGCCCAACCCTCCCACTCCAATACGCATGTTGGAATGTGGTATTAATTGTTGTGCTGTTTTCACCCTTTTAGCCACAGAATTGTATATGTGTGAGTGACTGTATCTGAGAAGAAGCTACACAGTCCGGATGAGAAATGTGAGATTCCATCCTAATTAACTTGCTACAATTAAGACTGGTTATTTACTTTTACAGTTTTAATGTTTTTCATTTCAGACTAGCGGTGCTAAAGGCCTTTCCTGAATTCCATGCTATTCTTCCTTTTCTAATTTTGCCTGCTATGTGGAGCCTGATGAGGTATAATTGGCAAAAAATACATAACTATTTCCAAGAAAAATAGAATTGTAAAGAGGTTCTTGGTATCTCCAGTGCTGCTATTTGTTCTAATGAATCTGGAGAAAATAGTTGCAAAGAAACAAATCCATTTTATTCTTCACTTTCTGAACTGAAATGTTTAAATCCTTCAGTTACTCTCCTACAACTATTCAAAACAGAGGTGGTCAGGTTAAATTTGAGTTCTAGAAGCGAACTCAAAGGGAAGGCCACCACGTATAGTATGTCATTCTATGTGACGGGCCAAAGAATTAAGAGTTCCCATTCACTTGCATAATTGCTGATGAGGCTTTGCCATTTCCAGTTCTTGTTCATTCAGCCATTTGTCAACATGAGTGTCACTTCATCCAGCATGCAATGATGAACCATCTCTTGATCTGTCATCTTAGAAGTCTTCATTCTGGAATTTCCACATGCTACACAAACTTATACTTATCAGATCAAACTTTCTGCTTCCATTACCTGCTTTGAAAGAGTCTTGTATATTTTCCTCATTTCAAAGTATTTGACCATACCTTAACATAAATAAATATAAAAAGCAAATAGGACAATAAAATGGAAAAACAATATGATAAATATTGGCACCAACCTGCCTTCAGTCGAGGACCTGTATACTGCATGAGTCCAAAAGAGGGCTGTGAAAATATTTACAGACCCCTCACATCCTGGACATAAACTGTTTCAACTCCTTCCTCAAAACGATGCTGTAGAGCACTGCACACCAGAACAACTAGACACAAGGACAGTTTTTTTCCCTAATGCCATCACTCTGCTAAACAAATAATTCCCTCAACACTGTTCAACTATTACAAAGTCTGCACTACTATTACTATTAACCTTCTCATCACTCCTTATCACCCATCTCCTCCTACTGTGACTGTATGACTATAACATTGTCGCTTGTATCCTTATGATTTATATTGACTGTTTCTTAGTATGATTTCATTGCTTATTGTACCCTATGACTATTATTAAGTGTTGTACCTTATGATTCTTGACTCTTGACGAATGTATCGTTTCTTTTATGTACACTGAGAGCATATGCACCAAGACAAATTCCTTGTATGTCCAATCACACTTGGCCAATACAAGAATTCTCTTCTCTTCTCTTCTCTTCTCTTCTCTTCTATTCTATTCTATTCTATTCTATTCTATTCTATTCTATTCTATCCATTCCATTTTCAGGATACTAGATGAGCAAAACCCATATATAATCCATAACAGCATAATACCTTGTAGAATCTGGTAGGTGGAGAAATCACACTTTGGTTGTTTTCTGGAATATGCCTGACAAGTAGAATCTATGAGATTCAGAGGAGCTTGGAAGTAGGGATGAACAACATCACCTAAATATCACTGAATTCTGAATCTCAAGAGTCCTAGCCAGTTTGGCCACTAATGATGGACAATTGTGTTGTAGTTGAATAATATTGGGAGGTTTGCCTGTTATCCAAGTTTGTTTTATAGATATCTTCGTTAATGTCATCTAAAATGTCATAGAAGTCTGGGATATTAAATAGATTCAAGAACATATTAAAGGGAAATAGATCTGCCTAATCATTTTCCTGATCACCTGAGTCTGATAGGGGCAAGTCCTACTTAACTGAAACATCTTTAGATGTTTAAAATAATGCCCTTTCTAAAAGAAGTACAGTAGCATAGGACTGATTAGAAAGGAACAATTCTTTACTTTCTTAGCATCCAGGAACTTCCCAAAGCAGAAATGAAAACTCATAAGGTAAAAACATCCATAAAACGTCAATATTGAACTACACATTAATAGCAGGATGATTTAGTAGTATTCACCTGAACAGAGAAGGATTACAAATTGGGGGCAAACATCTATTTTCTTTAGGATGGAGTCTTTCTCTTAATGTATGACTTAATTTTGCCTCAGAACAGCAGGGCCATAGCAGCCAATGCAGCGATCTAATTAGAGGAGGGGGCTTTGAAAGTCTAGACCAAAGTTCCTTCCAGTTTCAGTTATTTTAAAAGAGAGAGATGTGAATTAAGAGGCTTACTTGTGGCTTTCAGGGCTACAA